GTATCTTGTTCAAGTTCTAGACTGTTACTTCATGGGCGTTAACTGGGGATCCGCCTACATAATTCCTGAGTGTTGGTTCTGCTGCCTATTTATCAGGTTTCTTCATGAGCGTGGGGTTTCCCACTTCCATGGAACTCTTCTCTCAGACCACATCCTTAGGACAGAATTCGTCCTGAGAGCATCAGCGTCAGTCTCACTTCTCCAAACCTCGTGTCTCGCACCTACAGTTCTCCTACTTCCTCTCCACTTTCCTGCCCGTGGGTTCCCTTTGGTACTTCCTTATACACAATCTCAGCTAACGTTACGTGGGCGTGGACGTTGTCTGGGGCACAGTGCTAAGTGCTTCCCATGTTACCATGCTCTTTATTCTTACAATGACTCTATAAATGAAGAACGATGGTAATGCCTACTTCAGAGTTAGAGCCTGAGGCATAGAGGGCTCAGTCATTCACGATGATGACGACGGGCATCTCTGTAACTCACGTTTTGAAGCGCCCAGCAGTGCCGCCTGCTATGTTGGGCACTGAGGCTGCCTTTTGAGATGATGTAAAATGACCTCAGGCCCAGAAAGCATTTCCCTCGGAAGCTTCAAACTGGACTCACAAATCTCAGCATGCATGTGGGAAGAGACATGGCTGAATTGCTTTGTCTAGTAACTCATCAGCAAATATTCACTCAGCTCTTGCTGCGTGCTAGGCTGGACCCTGGCAAGCGGATCAGAATGAGGAAGACCCCCATGTTGGCCTCCATGGTGTTCAGAGGTCATTGTTGTTGTTATGTGCCATCTAGTCGCTTGTGACTCACAGCGACCCTATGTACAACAGCCCTAAACCCTGCTCTATCCTGTGCCAATCTCACTGCCTCTGACACACACATCCTGATTACCCCAGTCATTGAATCAATACACCTGAGAGAGGGTCTTCCCCTCCTGCGCTGTCCCTCTACCCTACCAAGTATGATGTCCCTCTCCAAGGACCTGTCCCTCCTTACAACATGTCCAAAGTATGTCAGATGAAGCCCCAGAATCCTTGCCTCCAAGGAGTAGCCTGGTTTAACCCTCTCCAGGATGAATCTGTTTGTTTTCTTGGCAGTCCATGGTACATTCAATACTCTTCTCCAGCACCACAGCTCAAAGGCATCAATTCTTTTTCTGTCCTCCCTAGTCATTGTCCAACTCTCTGATGCATAACAAGTGATTGCAAAGACCATGGCCTGTATCAGGCACACCTTAGTCTCCAGAGAGACATCGTTGCTCTTGAGTACTTTGGAGAGGTCCTTAACAGCTTACTTTCCCATCCCGATCATTAGGACGCCTAAAAAAATGAGACACTCAAGCAGCAGCCTAATTAACGACAACATTGTGAATGGCTAAGAGAGGGTGCAAACAGAAACTCAGGCGAGCTGTGCCTGGCTTTCAGGGAGGAGGGGATCTGGAAAGAGGACAGTTTTCTTGGGTTTCAAGAAAGTCTGCTGCGTTCTTCAAGTAACTTTCTGGGAAGAGAAGGGACAAAAACTACGACGTAAGACAGAGCGTACTTAGAGGCAGTGAGCACACCACAGGCGAGGCTGGTCAGAAGCAAGATGCTGGGGACCAGACCTGGGGAATTCATGCTGTTAATGCACGAGGAGGAGGAGGGGGAGGGGCGGGATGGAGGGCATGACTTCATCAGGCCGTGCACACCCAGCTGTCAGGGTCCTGGAGGCGTGTCCTCGGGTGGCATTGTGAGGACTGGCCTGAACTTCTGCGTTGTACTGGCAGGATCTCCGGAATGCTTCACAGTATCACCTTTGCCACAAAACCACTCCTCTGCCTTCCAGTTTGGAAACTTTTCTTCTTTTCATCTAATGCAGGCTGAGCAATGACTCGTTTAACAAAGTCAAGGAATTCCCAAGTTTCAGGGAAGGCGGAAGGTGCTGCTGGAAGTCATTTTGGGCTGAGATCCTTTGAAGTGTAATGTCGTTAGATGGAAATGTGGACTTTGGACAGAGATGTGAAGTTATCACCTAAGGGACCTGGATGAGCCTGTGGTCCTGGAAAAGCCTGGAGTGCCCCGGTTGGGGTCAGCTGAGGCGGATGGTCGGCGTCCCCCGTCTGGGGTCAGCTGGGGTGCATGGACACAACGCTGGATACAGAGTGTGCTCAGCCAATCAGCTCTCACTGACTGGAAATGGCCAAGAGCTGGCCTGATGGACTTGCCCAAATGCTCTGGGACTTCCCGATGCCCTAACAAAAGCCTCTACTCCTCCTTTTTGGTTTTGCAAATTGAAGCAAAATACTATGCAGGATAAAACATAGACAAGGTCAAACCCTGAGGGCCAAACACCACTTTAAAAATGAGATTCTGCCTGGAATTAACACGCTCACAAGCAAGCCCTTCTTCTTTCTCACCATCCTGACTCCAGGGAGCACCGAGCTGCTCTTCACCAAGGCTGGTGCCCTTGGGCCCTGTCTGCTGTTTAGATGAAGGCTGAGCCACAGGGCAGTGAGCTTCGTCCCAGGTTCCAAGGAAGGTGACTAAGGACCGTAGTTTTGGGAGTCCTCCTGTCTGTCAAACCAGTGAACTCGCCGTTTTTATGATTTGGAATTTCTTCCATATTTTAACACCTCTATGGAGGACCCTCTACTGCGATCTCTTATTGTAACTTCCTTTCTCTGCACATACCAGGCTGGAGGCAGAAGGCAGGGCACTGCAGAGGCTGACAGTTGCCTTAGGGCAAAGGGTCCTGACCCCGAGAATCATCTGGTACGACACCCAGGCTCCCCACCCCCTAGGTGCTCAAGCCCACCTCCACTGCCAATGGCTCAGGCTCCCTCTAAGTGTCCAGACCCTCAGACCCCGCGGACACTCCCAAGGCACATGGTGCCCCTGCAGGTCCCAGACCTCCCCAACCCGGCCCGGGGGAGGAGGGAGTTGGGTGGTGGAGGGAGAAGCAGAGCAGTGGCCTCTCCAGACCTTCCTGCAGCTCTGGAAGCATCGGTGGGCTGAGAGAACTCTGACTTATTTCCTCCTCGGTGATGGTCTACCCAAGAAGCCCTGTTGGCACAATGGTTAAAATATTTGATTGCTAACCAAAGTTTGATGGTTCAAACCCACCAAAAGCGCTGTGGAAGAAATACACTGTAGTCTGTTCCTGGAAAGATTACAGCTTTGGAAAGCCTGGAAGGGGCAGCTCTACCCTGCCTTCTGGGCTGCTGAGCCACAGGCCCTCGATGGCAGAGGACATAAGTGGGGGGACTTTCCAGTGTCCGGAGCTTAAAGCCAAATACAGAGTCCCGGGTACTGCAGCCCAAGGCCACTTCCATGAGAGGCCTGCTCTCGGGCTGCGCTGGCGCAGGGCTGTGTGAGGGGCCAGGGGGTCGCTGGTAGGAGGACCAAGGTGGGCGATCCGAGCAGGGCCATACGAACACTACAGAGCTCTACATCGGCTGGGCAGCTGGGAGTCCACCTGTCCATAGAAGGTTCTAGATAGAGATGCATCCCTGAGGCCACATCGTCCAGACACCTGGATGGGTGTCTCCTCTCACTGTTCCAGGAAAATGCTCTCCGGTCCAGGGCCCCGAGGCAGGGCTCCCGCCTCACTTCCAAGCCGGGTGAGCAGCTCTTAATTCCATCAAGCACATTTCCAAACACTGACATGGGGTGAATGATTTAATTACGGAGAAAGAACTTACCTTGTCAACGTGATTAGCAATCTCTATTAACCGCTGTTTCACTCTGTCCAGATCTTTTCCTTGTCTCTGAAACTGAACAATTTTAAATGTCAGCATTAATGATAACAGCAAAAGCATCAGTCACATCTTCCTGACTCCTGAAAAACTGACATCTGGGGTTTTACCAACCCTCAGGGTCCTTCCTCGCTTAGGGTGAAACAAGCCTAAATCCTGCCAAGGAATTTCCTGGGCGGGGGCTCCTGGAAACTGCCCTCAAGCCACTCAGCCTAGTGCCCCTAAGTCAGAGTTCTCAGCCCTCGTAGAGGACAGAGACACTGACGTGCTTTGGCAAAGAGAAAACAGACGACTGACAGGCCAGAGCTATGCTTTGTATCACCAGCTCAATTTCAACCTCTTGAGAAATCGTCTTATTTAAAAAAATGAAATGATAGAAGTCATGAGAGCTGCTGGCAACAGGTCAACCAGGACAGAGGAGAATCCAGCTCCTGTTCATCCTTGAAAGGGCTGCAGTCAGAGACCTGCCGCTTCATTCGTCTGTGTTCAAGTTCATTCATCTCAGGTCCATGAGATGTCATTGAATTCAAACCACGTAAAAAGGGCCCTGGGAGTGCAATGGTTAAGGGTCCCTCTGCTCACCACAAGGCTGGAAGTTTGAATCTCCCAGCAGCTCAAAGGGAGCTGTGTCAGGAGATCCTGCTGGGTAAAGATGGCCACGGGAAGCCTTACGGGCCGGTTCTGCCCTGTCCTGCGGGGCCAATGCGAGTCACACAAGCTTGCCAGAACACAGTAAGTAGATGCTGTCAGTGTGTGCAGAGGAAATGGTGCTCCACCATGAACTCCCCCAGCTCCCTCACAAAAGCCTTCTCCTGTTATTTTGTTTCAGATGCATCAGAAAGTTTTGAAATGATACTTTTGTCCCAGTCTCTTTTAGAGACCGAGTATACCTAAACAGAGTATACCTCGCTTTCACCTCTCCAGACCCCTTGTCTCTTGACTTGAAGAGCTTATGAGGGCAACTCTTGCTCTCTCTGGAGTCTTTGCTGTTGTCTTCCTTGTTGTTGATTGCTGTCAAGTCAAGCATGACTCATAGCGACCCTATGAACAAAGGCCTGAAGCCCCTCTACAACTATCAACATTTATCAAAGTTCATAGTGTTTCTGGAGGCATGTTATCTAGGAAGTGGATACCACTCCTGCTTATAGCATCAGATAAAACATTTATAACACTTTACATTGAAAACAATCAGAAAAGCATGTTTTCACTGAGCGGTTTCGTCTACGTTGACGGATGTGAGGATTGACTGAACCATTAACAACCTGCTAAGTGTTTTCTCACCAGATGTAACTGAGGAATTTGAAGGTATTCTTACCTCTCGGTTGTCTGCAACAATGACCAGTTCTACGTACTTGGTGGTCTTGAGGGTCTCTCTTTTATGCTGCCAAGAATGAACATAAGGTTAATTCCTGGTAAAGCCTCCGGGGTTTCCAGGCATTTCACAGTGTCACCCAACCCAACCCTCTCAAGGTGAGCCTCCATCCCTGTGTCCTCATCAGGCACCCACACCTCCATCCTGTACAAAGCTCTCAAGATGAGTAATGAACTTCCATTTCTTCCTGGGAAATCTGTAAAGAGAACTTTAACCTTTTTCTGTTGCATCACTGATTGCAGCATCATAAAAAGTCACAGCCATTCTTAAAACAAAATAAGCAAGCAAACAATCTAGATGCAGTTAATGGGGGTTCACCTCAGGCCATATTTAGGGCAGATATCACTGAAGAAGCAGCTGACTCTTCCAGATAATTCTACTGGGCCAAGTCTACTGTCCCCGCTGTGTTCCCTTCACCTTCCTGGGCTAAATCCATGGACCTGCTTTGTGAGGTGAAGGAAGTGGAGAGAGGGCAGTCTTGGATGGGAATGATATCACCATTCAGGGGACCCTGAGGAGACTTTCCCAGGAGCGATTTCTAATGGCTGATGGCTAGAACATCTGGTCAGAAACCATGGAAGACTGAGGTGGTCTGGAGAAAAGATCTTAGAAAACACAAAATCCACGCTGCTGAAGAGACATTCTAGAAGATTCCAGGAGGAAAGCCAGAAAGGGGAGGAAGGAGAACAGAAAGAACATTGGGGGGTGGGGGGTGGGGGCGCTGAGGGAGAAGGACTACATGATGTCATTAGAGAAAAGGGATTTAGTAAGAGTGGGTACAACTGGGAAGAACACAGAAATCAGGTGTAAAGGAAGGGGAACAGTGACGACTGAGGCAGAAGAAACAGAAATGGTGCTCCAAAGAAAGGCAGGCTCTGAGCTGGGCTACATTTTAATAAAAAAAAAATCACAACCAAGTGCTGGTGAGCTGACTCCTACTTACAGGACCCTCGGGACAGAGCAGGGGGCCCCGCAGGGTGTCCATACTGTCATTGTTACACAGTGAACGGCCTCATCTCCTGCCCAGGGAGTGGCCAGTGGGTCTGAACCACCAGCCTTTTGGTTATCAGTTGAATTCTTTGACTTATTATCCCACCAGGTCCCCTGAAAAAGGATTTGTGCTCTGCTGTGAATCACTTGGAGAGCTTCAAAAGCATATTCAGGAGGTTGGGGGTGGGAGACAGAAAAGGAAAAGCCCATCATAGAGGGTGGTCTTGAAAAACAAACATTAAAACCACAAAACAAAGCCTTGTGTTTCTGCCATGAGATGGAGTGGGAGGAAGCGAGTTCAAGGGTCCTCAGGACTGAGAGCCTGATTTACGTCTGAACTCTATGCCCTGTTTCAAGTGGAAAACAGGCAGCCCACTCTCACCAGACACGGCAAAGGCTGAAGCCGCCTCCTGAATCAGGTTTCCAGTCACATGATCCTGAGGGAAAACATCTTTTATAAAACAAATCCCCATTCGTCTGGGATCTTCCAAACAGTTTTACAAGAAACATGCTTGTATCAGAGATGGTTTTCTCTGTGTGGCCAGCTGTGCTGACGCATGGGTTTCAATGTCCCCAAAGAAATGTGGAGACTGTGTGTGTGTGTAAGAGCAGAGGGATCATCTCTCATCTTTGTACAATGCTGCAAGGAAAAAAAAAGGCCAAACTTTGAGACAGAATGTTGTGGGTGTGTTTTGTGGCTTTAACAATGTAAAGAGAAAAGAAATAACAAGGGGTACTTGCCAATGCACACAAAATCAGACACCTTGGAGAATCTGAAGAGGTATTTTGAAAGGTGTGAAAAGACCCTTTGTCCCCTCTCCTTGCTGAACTGTGAAGGACATAAATTTCTCTCCTTTCTCTAAAATTCTCTGCCCTCTGACCATGAACAAATTAGCTTATTTATGCAGGCAATAGTGCAGCTCCATATGTGAGATAATAAAGGAATCGCCATAGGAAACCTCATGGAAGTCATTCACACTATTCCATCTGCTAAGAGGCCAAATGAAAGACCAGGGGGTATTTCCAACTGGCTTTGGATCATCAAGTAGAAAACACCCAATTCCAGATAATGAAAACACACACACACAGCCACGATTTCCTTGTCTCTGCAGATTTCAGAGAAGCTCGAATGTTTTCATGAATTCAAGGAACTTAAGCCCAGAGAAGAGCTGAACCGCATGATGATAAAACGCCAGGGGAGAGGGCGGCTCACAGTCCCAGAGGCTCACACATCCTCTGCACCCACACAGAGGCTCAGGTTACCGCACATCATTTCCATCCAACTGGCTAAAAAAACCAAAATAAAAACACAACACCATGTCTTTTCCACAGGAGATCAGCAGAAATTTATTATTTTTGTTAAAAATATCCTTGAAGTTAGTTGTACCAACAAAATATTTTTGTAAGCCCAGCTTACAAGTACCAATACAAGACCAAAACCTCTGTGCCAATTTCCTTTTTAAAAATGCAAAAGAATCAGAGTAGACTGATTCTCTATTCAACCATTTGTACCCTGTTTGTCTCCGGACATTAGTTACCCTGTCCACACTGTCACACCGCTCTTCCTCTGTGGCGCTGGCTTCCACTCACCCTTCTAGTTATGTAACTCCTGCTTCTGAACTTTCTGAGCAAACACTGTCGTTTAAATCGTACGTGGTTGCCTGGTCAGCAGGACCTCCTGGTACTTTCACATACCCTGTCTGCTGTTGTGGTTAGATGCCATGGAATCAACCTGAACTCACTGCATGCAAGTTCTGACTAGACCATGGACTCTGAAAGAACCAAGACGTCTGTTTGGGGAGAAGTTTAACACTTCTTTGGAATCTGGCCCAAACCTGTACCATTCTCACAGTCTCCAATGGACTTAAGCCCATGGCTGCAAGTGCTACGTCAATCCATTTCACTAAGTGTCTTCCTCTCCTTCAGGGACCCTTCCTTTTACAAGCTTGAGGACTGCCTCTCCTGACACTACCCTCAAACCACGTGAGATGAAGTCTCTTAGCCCAGCTCAGGCACCCTGAGGGCACTGCTTCCAAGATACACATGACGGTTCTTCTACAGTCCATGGTCTAGTTGGCGCCCGGCATCAGCACCCCATCATAGGAAGTGGAGAAAAGGCAGAAGTTGTCAATCACTGTATTTTACTTGCCTCCACTATTGACACCCATAAAAAGAGAAGTCAAGAAATTGAAAGCCGTATCTTACTGGGAAAATCTGCTGGTAAGGATTTCCTCAACGTGCTGAAGGGTTTAAAGAGTATGGTACAATCTTATCCAAGCAACGGTATTGTCAACTGCTTCACACATACACATGCTTCCCGAGGTGAAAGGTCACCACCCAAGCCTGTCTGTCGTTTCGTTCAAAGCTGATCCGGGGAGGTGAGTTCAGGTCGAGGTCCACAGTGACTAAGGGTCATCACTCTCTATCAGGTTAGTAAGCCTGACATTTATTTTTCCCTGACTCGTAGTGGCTTGTTTCGTTTGTTTAGTTCTGCTGTATATATGCTGATGGCTGGCATCTGCACTAAACTGTCCCTGTTAGCTGTCGAGGTGATCTGAACTCACGGCAACCCCATGCGTGCAGGGCAGAGCAGCTCTGCGGCCGCTCAAGGCTGTGGCCTTCAGGGGGTAGATCCCAGGCCTGCCTTTCAAGGCGCTGCCTCTGGCAAGCGTGACCGCTGACCCTTCAGTTAGCCACTGAGAGCTTAACCACTTGCCTCACTCAAGGATTCTTGCTTATTTTTCATTTGTGACAGAGAGAGCAATATTTGAAACTGGCTTTCTGATGGAATCTCCATTTTTTGGATCTGAACTTAAATTATTTGCTGAACTGATAGAACATGAGCCACTGAGGATGGCCCCACAGCCTCTGCTCCGTGGCGGAGGAAGGGACGCAGTTGGTGCAATGACTGGACGTGAGCCAGGCCTGATCTTCTCCACGTCATTGCAGCCAAGTTCCCAGAGATGAGACACTGCCCAGACAGCCTGCACTGAGAAGCCCGCCATCAGGAACTTAGCTCCGGCCAACGCAAGTTCCAAGTGCATGACTTTAGACTCGAGCGCTCCAGACATGCTCTCGGGAGGGAAGGACATTATGGCTGGTCAAACAGAGTCTATGAGGAAGAGGGGGGTCTTCAATGAGATGGACAGACACAATGGCCACAAGGGTGGGCTCAAACAGGCCAACGGCTGTGACGATGTGCCAGACCAGCCAGCGTTTTGTTCTCTCATGCCCAGGGTGGCCACGGTCAGAGCTAACATGACAGCCCCTAACGATGTAGGACAGATAAGCTGAGGTCAGCACTGCAATACTTTCTCCTGGTACTTTTGTCTGAACATCGGCTGCTGCTCTTGGGTGCTCTTAAGTTGATTCGTTCTCACAGTGACCCTACAGGACCAGGCTGCACGGCCCCACAAGACTCCCCGGCATGGTCTTCATAGGAGCAGCTCAGCAAGTCTTTTCTCCACTGATGGCGCTGTCAGGGGGTTCGAACTACTGACGTTTAGGTTAGCAGCCAAGCACTTAAGCATTGGGCCATTAGGGCTCCATTTCATCCATATGAAAAGACCGTTTGTAAGGCACTCTGGTGGGCTGTGCCGCCAATCAGGAAGAGGCTATAGCTCACTCTCTAGGTTCAAATTCACCAGTGGCTTCACTGTAGAGAGACGGGCAGTTTCCTTCCATTAAGATTCACAGCCTTGAAATGCAGTGGAGGGTCACCAGGAGTCAGAATCAAAGTGATGGCCTTGAATCTGAGGTGTCTGAAACCATTTCTGTATCACTCATTCTCCCACAAACATCTACTGGAAGGCATTTTTTTTATGTAAGACACTGTATTCAGTGCTCAGGACACAAGGGGGGGGACACAGATCTCGGGGTTACTGCCCTCATGAAGGCCGTTCTACATTCTAATGAGGTTTGGGGGATAAACACCACCTCTGCAGACTGGTGGTGGCATGTGGGGATAATCCCAATTGGCAAAGCCTGGAAAATGCACGGAAGGAAAGAGCTCGATCATG